ATTCCTCTGACCTGTGGGAGCTGGGAGGGAGCTGGGTGGATAATGGCCCTCCTCTCTCTCCTGTGTACTACTCTGAGGCCTGGTTTTTCCCCCCCAGCACATCCAGAAAAGTTCCGTATGCCAAGCAGATGCACCTGCCAATTGGCTGTGCCCACAGACGGTCTTGTGAAGTGGTAACTAGCCCTGGAACCTGTTGCTTTGCTTTGTTTTACCTCCTCCCTTCTCTCCCTCTCCCTCCCCCTTTTTAAAATAATGGCAAAAGCCGAGATGAGTTTGGCTCAGTGGATAGAGCGTCAGCTTGTGGACTGAAAAGTCCAAGGTTTGATTCCAGTCAAGAGCATGTACCTTGGTTGTGGGCACATCCCCAGTAGGGGGTGTGGAGGAGGCAGCTGACCGATGATTCTCTCTCATCGATGTTTCTGGCTCTCTCTCTCTCTCCCTCTCCCTTCCTCTTTGTAAAAAAATCAATAAAATATATTATTTAAAAAATAATAAAATAAAATAATGGCAAAAAAACACATTACATAAAATGCTCCCCCTTAACTATCTTTAGGTGTACAACCCAGCAGTGGTTAGTATATTCAAACTGCTATGCAACAGATCTGTAGAACATTCTCATCTTGCAGAACTGAAACTCTATACCCATTGCACATCTCTACACACCCTCGCCCCCACCACCACCCAGCCCATGGCAATCACCATTCCACGTTCTGTGTCTATGAGTTTGACTGCTCTGGGTACCTCCCTTGTCTTTGTGTCACTTCCTTTCCTTCTTCTTCACCTCACTGACCTGGATTTGTATACCCCAAATAAAGTCTTAGCATTTCAATCCTTGCCTCAGGTAAAAGTGTCTGGAAAATTCTTTCTAGAACAGTGTTCTGCATCACTGAGAGAAAACTCATTGGAGCCCTAAACCTGTCTCTCAAAAAAGGTCCTTCAGTTGGACATTAGAACTAGCCTAGAAACGTGAACCACATAGTACGGTTGCATTTTCTAAGCACCCTTTTTTGTTAAGCACCCGGTTTTTATCATCCATTTTTTATTGACACTATGAAACCAGCCACAAGAGCTGTAGCACTGGAGGTGCAGGGTGTGAGTGATGGTGGAGGTGGTAGCAGTGTGATGACAGAGGAGACAGTTCAACACTATGGAGCACTGTGCATCATCTCATTTAATCCTACCAGCAATGAGGTACATCTCATCATCCCTCTATGACAGGTGAAGGACTAAGATTATCCATATGTACTGAGAACTTATCTTGGGCTACAGAGTCAGTAGGAGCAGAACGAGGATTCAAAGTGAAGACTTTTTACCCTCAGAGCTGTGCTTAATCACGTGTGCTACAGATACTGGCTCCCTTTCAGTCAAATCAATCTGAGTCCTCCTATGTGTCAGGAACTTTCCTAATGCTTCATGCACCTTTTTGTTCTTGCTAAGTCCCCTAAATGAGTCTATAAAATCAGAAAAGCTCATCCTATATAATAAAACCCTAGTATACGAATTGTCTGGTCTTCTGTTCAGCCAATCAAAGTGTAATATGCTAATGATATGCTAAGGCTGCTCAACTGCTCTATATGACGGGCACTAACCACCATGGGGCAGACGCTCTGACTGGTAGGTTAGCTTGCTGCTGGGGTCCGGCTGATCAGGACTGAATGAGATGGGCTGGACACGCCCTGGAGCCCTCCTGCAATCCCTCCCTGGCTGGCCAACTTCCCTTGTCCCTCCCTTTCCCCCGCCCCCAGCTCTGATCACGCACCAGTGGGGTCTCTTGGCCTGCCCCTACGCCCTCTAATCTGTGACTCCTTGGTGGATGTTGGAGAGCTGGTTTTGGCCCAACCCCACTCAATGCAGGAGCTGCCCCCTCGTGGTCAGTGCGCTCCCACAGAGGGAGCGCTGCTCAGACAGAAGCTGGGCTCATGGCTGGTGAGCACGCCAAAGGTGGCAGGAGCCTCTCCCTCAAGGGTTCTTGGACTGTGAGAGAGTGTAGGCCAGGCTGAGGGATCCCCCCCGCAACTGAGTGCATGAATTTCATGCACTGAGCCTCTAGTTCATATATAAAATCCTCTCATTTCCCTCCAAACAAATCTAGAAAGAAAATAAAGCTTTCCCATGTACTTTATTATAGGAATAAAATAGAAAATTTATAAAACCTGTGAAGAAAAATATTCTTACACAATGTAGTTATAATAGTTTAGAAAAGTAAAAAGGAAGAAATATTTCTATAAGTGGAGGAGTATTGTAAAATTAATCTGGGATAAAAATGCATACACCATGAAGACTCTACACTATCAATATTTTAAACTTCCTTAATTTGATCTGGAACTTATTTCAATGTTAGTGCCTTATCTTTGTTATCAAGATTCCTGTTGGCACCCCAAAAGTATTCTGGGGTGCCTTTGTTACCATGATTCCAGCCAGGATTCTGGGCAGGTTGCATAATTCAGGGAAAGCATTAAGCTCTACAAAAACCTCCAAATTTCCACCCAGTGTATGATGCCTGGTACACCACTTCAGCTACTCAGATTAGTCTACAGTTTTCAACTGACTTAGCAAAAACAATCCCTTCCTTCCTGCCTTCAGACTTCATAAGTGCAGTCCCATGATTTCACCCCATTCTTCCCCTTCCAGTTGTCCCACCTTATCCCTTGACATTTTGTGATAGGTCCTTACTGCATTTTCTTCATCCTAAGCATCACTACAAGTAAATTTTTCTGAAGCACAAATCATTTCCCTATTCAAAAAGGTCCATGAATTCATCATGAATTCATGTGTTGGTTTTCTTTTTGTTTGTTTGTTTGTTTTTGTCTTCTAAATTAAACGCCTGTAGTTTCTTCTGTCACCCAAGACCACTCCGGCCCTGATCTGCAGTCTCTGCTTGTCCATTCTGCACTCTGCTCTGCCTGTTTCTGCATCTCTGTGGATTTCTCCATATGAAATGAAGCTGCCACAGCCTCACCCCCAAGCCTTTGCCAACCTTCAGCCCCCCTCCAACATTCCAGGCTCCACAAAACCCATGTCCCGTCAACTAAATGTGATCACTGCTCTCTTTGATCCCCACCGCACAGGGCCTCTCCTTTGACACCTCATTAACGCTGTCACATACCGTCTCCCTATGCAATGGAAAGCTTCCTAAGAACAGGTGTGTCATATTTATCATTTTTCCTTTGGAGTCTAGCACTCAGCAAGGCTCATGGTTTTTTGTTTGTTTGTTTGTTTTGTTTTTTAAATATATTTTATTGATTTTTTTTTTTTTTTTTTTTTTTTTTTTTTTTTTTTTTTTTTTTTTTTTACAGAGAGGAAGGGAGAGGGAGAGTTAGAAACATCTATGAGAGAGAAACATTAATCAGCTGCCTTCTGCACACCCCCTACTGGGGATGTGCCCACAACCAAGGTACACGCCCTTGACCAGAATCCAACCAGGGACCCTTGAGTAAGCAGGCTGACGCTCCATCCACTGAGCCAAACCAGCTAGGGCTAGGCTCTGTTTTTTGTTTGTTTGTTTGTATGTTTGTGTGTTTGTTTTTTAATGGAAATAGGAGTTTGACATCAGTCCCAAGGGTTATGGTGTTTAGAAGATGAATTTTGAAGATTCAGACCCAGCTTCTTCAGCTCTTTGTGCTTCACTAAACACTGAACAAGAGAGACAACACAGCCTAACAGGGAAGAGCATGGGTTCTGCAGCCAGACTGTCAGGGGTTGAGTCCTGGCTCTACCACACACTATCTATAGTGTGACACTGAGAGGGTTACTTTATTTCCCTCTGCCTCAGTTTCCTCATTTGTAAATAAGAATAGTTACTTTGCCTACTTAGAGGCTTATTAAGAAAAGTAAGTGAGCTAAAACCGGTTTGGCTCAGTGGATAGAGTATCGGCCTGTAGATTGAAGGGTCCTAGGTTTGATCCCGGTCAAGGGCATGTACCTTGGTTGTGGGCACATCCTCAGTAGGAGGTGTGCAGGAGGCAGCTGATCGATGTTTCTTACTCATCAATGTTTCTAACTATCCCTCTTTGTAAAAAAAAAAAAACACACACAATGAAATATATTTTAAAAAAGAAAAGTAAATGAGTTGATATTTGTACAGCACTTCGTCAGTGCCTGACACATAATAAGTACAACATTAACATGGAGTCTCCATGCTTTTATTCGTTCTGTGTTAATCACTTCCCATCGTGAGATAATGGCTTTGTGAACTTGGAGAAACTCTCTGGTGATTTATATTTACTTAGTATGAGCTTTACTTAACATTAAACATCAGGGCATCATTGTCAACTGCAGGCGAGTTACCTGGCCTGGAGGAAGCTTCCCGCCACACACCTGTGTCAAGTTTCCCTTTCTCTGGTCCAAGGAGACTGTGAGGGTGAACCCCGACCCCTCAGTCAGAGCTGCTGACGCTGAAGGATCAGGGGCTGGGAGCATGTGTTCCTTTCCCGGGTTCATTTTCCTGTTACCTGTTGTTAATGCCTCTTCCCATCTTCCCCTTATTTTTATGTCACAGTGTGTGCCGTTCACCTTGAAATGTGTACCTAATACCTGCTGAACTCTGTCCGCAGACAGATGAGGTCTTTGTTTCAATAGTTGGCTCACTTCAGTCCCCCTCCTGTGTCAGACACAGTACTGAAGCAGGGGAATCCGGGGGGAATGAGGCAAGGCCCCTCTCTCCCTCCAGGAACTCCCACCCATTTTTGCAGGAGACAGACATAGAACACTCACCTGTGAGGCGTATGTTAAATGCCTTCACAGGAGAACAATGTGCGGCGGTTACACAGATTGATTCTGCCCTGGGGATTGGCCTTATTAAAACATCTAACAAATTAATACACAATAACTGGTCGATTTCGTTTCATCATTCCCTGTGTTTAACGTTTGCTGATGAGGCTATTACTAGGGCCTATTGAGCTGAAGAAGTGAAAACAGTCACTATCATCATATTTTTAAAACATTTTTTTCTTTATTGATTAAGGTATTACCGTGTTTCCCTGAAAATAAAACATCCTCCAAAAATAAGACCTACTTACAGGTTTCCTTCTGAGTGAAATATAAGGCATCCCCCCAAAAATAAGCCCCCCCCCCCCAGGCTCTGTCTCAGAATGAAAATTAATTTACCTTAAACTGGTCACTAAGGCCGCTCCGATGGGCGTCTAGCAACCAGAGACATTACGCGGAGTCCTGACGTCACTGCTGTGTGGAGGCTGAGTGGAGGGAGTGAGCGGTGAGCGCCCAGCGGGAGAGAGGAGGAGACTTTCGCAGATGCATGTAGAAGAACAGGAGGATTAGAGTAGACAGGATGCTGCAAAGATGGTGAGTGCTGGTCTGTCTCTGGAGACACTACCTGATGCTCACGGCTGCCCTCATGATGACTGAAGGTTCTCAGTCAGTGGCAGACCCTACTCCAGCCCAGATCCAGGCCCCAGCAAGCCCAGTGACAGTCCCCAGGCAGGCCCCAGGGGGTAAATGTTTGATAAAGGGGTAGGGGGGATGTCTGGTGAAGGTGTTCAGTGGCACAGGGGTGGGGGGATGTTTTATTTTCGGGGAAACACGATAATACCTTAAAATGACACAGGAGGATCAGAGGGGGCAATCAAAATGACACAGGAGGATCAAAAGGGGTTACTAAAATGGTAATCCCCCCTCTGATTCTCGTGTGCCATTTTGATTACCCCCTCTGATCCCCACCTGTGTCATTTTAAGTGATCTCCCTCCCCACACCTTGATACCCCAATTCCTTTTTTCTATCCCTAGAAATGAGCACAAAAAGAAAAAGCTACTCCATGGAGTACAAGAAAGAAATCGTGGAAGACTCTTGGGGCCAAAATCTTACTGCTTTCTGCAAAGAGAAGATGTTGAATGTCGGATGGATCTGAAAATGGCGAGCAGAGTATGGCAACCTCATTGAACAAGTGAACAAGAGAAATGCTAAAGCGCAAGTGTGGATCAGGTCAGCAACCATTATTTTCCAAGCTGGAAGACCTGATCTGTGAATGGGTTGTTGACAGGAGAGGAAAAGGCTTTGGTTGTGAATAGGGCTCAGATTCAAGAATTTGCCCTTGCAATGGCACCACAGTTTGACATAGCCCCCGAAGACTTCAAAGCATCACAATACTGGCTGGATAATTTCCTTCAGCGAAGTGAACTGTCTTTAAGAAGATCTACAACATTGTTTAGGTTGGAAGATACTCAAGTTATTAAGCGAGCACTTGCATTTAAGTCCTTTATTGATGATGCTGACTTCTCTAAATACAATCTTTCCAACATGATTGCTATGGATAAAACTGCAGTGTTTATGGGCCAATCATCTCAAACAACAATTGAACAGCGGGGTGCCTCCTTAGTGTACATTCCCTCCACTGCTTACGAAAGTGCACTTGTTTCCTGTATTTTGGCAATTCGTCTGGATGGCACTAAAATCCCACCTTTAATCATTTCTAAGGGCAAGAAGGAAAAGATTGAACGTGTTTTGGGCGTTTTTATTCTTGAAATTGAAAAAGCCTGGGCCACACAAGCAGTTATAAGGAAGTGGGTCGATTTAATGCTGCTGCTTGTTATGCGAGGGAGCCAAAGAGGTCTGCTAGTCTGGGATGCAGCCAGCACTCACTGCGCTAAAGACATGAAGACATTTCTTCATGAAAGAAAAATAGATCAGATAATGATTCCCGCAGGAATGATGGCCTATCTCCAGACTCTTGATATTGCAATAAACAAGCCATTCAACGACAATTTTTGCCATGGAAATTAATGACTACATTGAAAATAGAATGGAGAGAAATCAGCGTGGAAACTTTGTGAAACTTTGACTTGGGTGATTAATTCATGGAGAAAATCACTGACAGATGCATTGCAAATGCACTGTGAGCAGGCTACCTTGACAAGAAGTACTCATTTAAAGACAGTGCTATTGCTAAACATAAGAGATTTGGTCCACTGATTCTGAAAGAAATGGAGTCACAAGAAATTCACCAGGAAATTCAGGAATTGGATTGTTATGATGATGTTCCAGAAGATGATGACATGATTGTCATTGAATAAATGAGTAAATTCTTGATACTGTAGGATTCACAGTTTGTCTGGTTTGTGTTGACAACTACCGTACTACCGTACCATATACAGGTAATAAATTTCCTTTATTTTCATTTAACAATAAATGTTTACCGTATTCTTCTTCATGGAAAAATAAGACATCCCCTGAAAATAAGACCTAGTGCATCTTTGGGAGCAAAAATTAATATAAGACACTGTCTTATTTTCAGGGAAACAGGGTATATATGTGTTCTTATCACCCCATTATCATATTCTTGAATATTATGTTTACAGAAGCTGCCCATATAGTTATTGCAAAACGCACCTAAAAATAATCTGCAATACTTAAAACACTGTATCTTTAAAACTGGATCATGTGCTCTCTACTGTTAAGCTAATCCTTGCTGTCTTCCAAACAGGCCCTGGAGCGTGTGCTTCCTTCCCTCTGTGCTTCCATCACCAAATTCCCACGTTGACCTCGGACTCCAAAGGCCAGTGACTCCAACTGCAACTATGGATGGACACTCCAAATCACCCACCCAGAGTTGCAATAGCTGTCACTGGCCTGGGTGATCCACTCTTTTCCCCCCCCACCCCCCTCAAGCTTCCCTCAAATCAGCTAATCACAGGCAGTCTAGCCTACCCTGGGAAAGCTATCTGGTCTTTAGAAACAAGCTCCAGCTCAGAAATGTGTTCTGACATAAAATTACTACAACTGTCGGTCTCACCACAGTCCATGATAATTCCCCAGGACTCAGCTTGACAGGGAGAAAGATGAAGTGGAAGAAAACTAGACGCTTGGAAGAAAACTAGACGCTTGCCAGCACGACTGTTAAATGTCAGCTATTCTGGATTTTATCCCCACGTGAGATATTTCTTTGGTGCTGAGGACAATCACTGAAAAAACACGACAACATAATAAAAGCCACAGAAGGCAACCCCGTCATTACTGCTGCAGGAAATAAACACAGATCCATGCCACCAAAGCGAACGTCAGGAGAGAGGGAGCAACAATGTCTACAAATAAACCTAGCATCCCGGACAAAAGGGCTTAAGCATCACCTGTGAGCGGGCAGTAATTACAGACAAATCACCAATGACAATGCTATCTGCTAGGCACGCATTATGTTCTCAGGGTTTGAAAGAGTTTGTTTTCTGTTTTTCTCTCAAATGTCTCTAAAAGTCTTCCCACTTGGATTCCAGGGACACAAAAGACAAAGTGGTGCAGCAAACACGTACATGGCTTAACAAGGCACACGCAGCCTGCCATGGACAGTGAGGGGACGCCAGACACCCACCCCCCATCTCCCCTGCTGCTCAACGTGCCAGGAGGACAGTGCAGCTGTGGACAAAACAGGCAAGAGTGATGTGGACCATGAGGAGAGGCCATTTGGGTGTCCAAATCAAAACTGGATATAAACAAGCACTTGGAAAATAGATGCCATTTGAGTTCTTGCTGCAGAAAAATGGGGCAGAGAGTAAAAAATAAATGGGAAAGAATCGGAGGGCCAAGCTGACCTATATAAAGAGTGCAGCATCTAGTTCAAATGTTAAAGATGAAAGAGACCAGAATTCCTTCATCTTGGCTCCAGTCATTTTACTACTAATTAGAAGTCTCAGTGTGGTTGGTTAGAGCATCGCACACAATATTCACATCAGCCTTTGCAACCCTAAGGTATGCCTCAGGAAAGCAATAAATGGCAACAAGTTTGCTAAGAGCTATTACTTCAATTACACGGAGATGCATGGGCAAAATCTAAGCTCAACTTTTCAGGGTTGTGCTTCATTTTATAACAGTCCACCTGTGCTCGAGAGCAAATGAATGGGTCATAGTTACTGCAACCCCGTGTACTCACAGGTGAGTTCTTGACAGTTTGTATTTATTAAAGCCTATGAACATTCAGGGTCATTTAAGAGGAGGAAGGGTAGAAAAGGAGATTGTGTCTTTTTCCTCTTTTCTTTATATTCTTCCCTGGTGGGATAAAGTGTCGTGGAGCACAGAGAACATCACTTGCCCTTGAGCAGAGCTTGCATCCCTGGCCTACAGAGCACTCTGCCTGCACCTGTGAGGAAGAGAACATCTGCAGGAACCTTCCTTTCTGACTGGGTTTCTGGCAATTGCCTCAACACCTCAAGGAGAGCTCTGGTGCCAGGTTCTCATGTTGATTCGGGCTTATAACAATTCTTTGAAATGTCTCTTCTTCAGTCAACAAAGAACTTCTTCCTTGGCAGAGTTACTCTAAGCAAGTGAAATAGTCAGGAGGAATATCGTAGTTTTTTTCATTAAAAAAAATAGAAATTAGGTAAAATTAGGAGTGTGATACTACAGATGTTCGCAGGAGGCTATTTGCCATCTGTGGGCTGGGAGATCGGACCCTCATTCCTGATGGTCATATTGCTAGCTTCATCTGGCCTCTCTTCTGAAAATGCGCTAAGATTCTCTCATATTGCCGAAACCGGTTTGGCTCAGTGGTAGAGCGTGGGTCTGCGGACTGAAGGGTCCCAGGTTCAATTCCGGTCAAGGGCATGTACCTTGGTTGCGGGCACATCCCCAGTAGGGGGCATGCAAGAGGCAGCCTCGTCGATGTTTCTTACTCTCTATCCCTCTCTCTTCCTCTCTGTAAAAAAATCAATAAAATATATTAAAAAAAAAAAAAGATTCCCTCATATTGCCTTAGTTAAAACACACCAGAAACCAGCCACATGTAAGATTTATGCTGAGTAGGAAGCTGTTGATAAGTGAAGCTAAAGCTGTTTTTAAAAATTTTTTATAAATGGTATGAAAACTCACTTACCCACAGTCTATTTCAGAGAAAGAATTATACATTGGATTTGAGAGAAGAAGCAGGAAGAGAAAGGGGGAGGGAGGAGAAAGTGGAGAAGAAAAATGGGCAAGGAGGAGAAAATGCCTGCAGACACAGGACATCCTTAGGAAAAGAGTTCAAGCACAGAGCTCAACTGTAGACTGCCCAGGAATGCTCTTAGGGTACCACCACCCACCTTTCTGAGCCCTTCCGTCCTCTTCCAGGACTCACCGCACCGTGGCTCTGGTTTTCCCCTTAAACCATGAAAATATGCTCAGAAAGAACTCCTGAGGCGCACCCACACGGAGATGGAAATGACTGATGAAATATCCACACCTTCCAAAGTATATTTTTACCAGGAATTAAACCTTGTGTCACAGGGCCAAGGCTGCAGATCTGGAATCTAGTGTATCAACCAGAAACTGGAGGAGACATTTGGGGGTCAACGACAGTGAACCTTTTCAAGACCAGTCAACTCCCTGGGGCTCCCTCTCTCAGACCTTTGCACATGGCATCACTGTGCAGAAGGTGGAGGTATTCCAGGCAGAGCTGTCTCGCCCTTCTTTGAACCTTTACTAGCACAGGGCATATACCCTGCATTAAAGCATTTACCGTCAGGTACCTCATGTCTGAGTTCACACGTCTGTCTCCCGCACCAGATTGTGAGCTCCTTGGGGGCAGACCCTGTATCTCCGTTCTCGTTTTCCGTTCTCAGCACTTTGAATCAGGCCTGCTGCAAACCGAACCTTCTTCTTTAACCCACTGCCGATCTAGTCATCTCCGAATCTCCAGAAGCCACTGTACAGCTTTTGAATATAAAAGCTTTAATTTGATTTCCTTTAAAGATTCAATTTAAAATGCTCTTATCGTTACAAAGCAGCACCTTCAAATTCCAAATTGCATGTACATTGAAAGTGCTTCCCTTTAACAAGATATCTCCGGAAACACTCCAAATCAGAAGCCGCTCACCTCTGGGGGATGAGGAGTGAGAAGGAATTCTCAGAAGTAGCATCTAGAGATAAGAGACTTAGGAAGGAGGGGAAAAAAGCAAACAAAACTACTTTCATTATTTATCTCACCCATGCTTAGATGTTTAAAGAGGTATCTCCCAGGAAAGGTCTGCGGCGGGATTAAAGGCATTAGGTTTTCTGATCTGTCTAATCGAGCCGTGGAGCGAAGAAGGATGCTCTACATCATAATTCTTGCCTTCCCGGCAAGTGTCAGTCTCATGTTAAAAAATGGCTTTCATCGCTATCACTGACCTTTGGCAGGATTAATGGGCTACCAGGCATGCTTTCTCATAGGAGAGGCTGAAAAATTGCAACTAACATGAGGGAAAATTATATAATCACCGAGGCTTAGGACAAGCAAATAATTCATACATGAAGCAACTGAGAGGGGGCAGCCCTGCTGGGATGCCGGCTTGCCTCTCGTCAGCCGCAGCGGCCGGAGACATCACACACATGTCCTGGTGCCACGGTGAGGTGCCGTCCTACCGCGGGATGAGAGCCTTGAGTTTCTCTCCTTTGGAACAACACTGAGGCGCAACAACTCATTCGGGACGTGCTTTGTTGAAACAACCACAGACCCGGGAAAGGGAAGACGGGAGGGTTAAGAACCAACGCAATTCCTGTTGAGTGTTTGTACCCCGCAGGCTGATAAAAGGTGGAATCAATTCGCTTCGGCAATGAGTAATAACTCCCATGTCCTTGAAGAGCACTTTGAGAAATGCTAGAGTCACAGGGCTACACATCCGCTGACACTGATTAAATACTCTATTTGCTATATCTTCTATTGAAGGTAGAGGTGGGATGGCACATTAGTATGGCCTGCTCGTGCTGGGAGGAGCCACACCGAGGGAACCAGGGAAGGGGCCTTCCATCTGGGAAGGCCAGTTGCAAATTGCTGGCACTTCTTGATGAACTTCCCTGAAATGAACAGTTTCTGTAACCTCTGTTTAGCAGGCACC